CAGCGGGCCGGTGGTTGGTGCGTGGGCGGAGCAGGCGCAGCATGGCATGCACGGCGGTTTGCCAGGAGCTCCGGCTGACGAGGCCCAGCAGCTTCCACACACCTTCCACATGATGGCGGCGATGATCACCACGGTACTGGTCATGCCCAGCCAGTACTTGAAAGCATACTGCACCATGGGATCCCGCAGCACTGCACAGAACCAAGAGGCACGGAAGCACAGCCAGCAGCGGCGGTCGGATGGCGGTGCCGCGTCGCTGCGGGCGGCTGCGCAGCTGGTATGGTCTATGACAATGGCAAGCCCTGCAGGACCGTCTGAACCAATAACCCCGCCTCACCTTGCCGCCGCGCCTGGCGGCTGGTCAGCAGCGCGGGCACCGCCCTGGCCATCCTCAGGCAAGCATCCAGGGTGATCTTCGCGACCGGCAGCGGGCTGGCCAGCACCAGCAGGATGGCGGCATTTGCCAGGTACGGGTTGGCGGCCAGCCGGCGCAGCAGGCCGGGAGGCGGCGCGCCGCTCGCCGCGCCACTGCCAGCGGCTGCTGCAGCAGGCGCCTCCACGTCCCCGCCCTTCTCCACCACACCGTCAGCCTCCTTGCCCGCTGCCGGCGGGGCAGCCGCTGGAGGCTCTGCCGGCACATCCAGGGCTGCGGCGGCGGCGGCCTCGGCCGCAGCGGCGGCGGCCAGCAGCTCTGCCGCCGCCGCCAGGCAGTAGAGCAGGGCGCGGTGCTGCAGGGAAGAAAAGGGCAGCGGGGCCAGCAAAGGGGCAAACATGAGCAAGCAGGCATGCAGGCATGCATGCATGCATGCATGCATGCAGGCAGGCAGGCAAGCAGGAGCTGGGCATGCAGGCAGGCAGGCAAGCCTCAGGCCCACAACTATGCTGCCTGCTCCCTGCTGCCTGCTCCCCCGCTCCGCTCCCACCTCTGCAATGCCCAGAGACAGGGCAAAGTCCAGGCCCCCCTGCTGGTAGCCCTCGACGTAGCTCTCCGCAAGGCGTGCGCCCTCCGCCGCCAGAACGCCCCGTGCCTCCTCCCACGCCGCCCGCGGCAGCGGCCGCCACCGCACCGCCGCGCCGCTGCACTTGGCCAGGGCCGGCATGTGTGCCAGGGCCTCTGCCGCGCCGGCACAGGCGGCCGCCGCCAGGCCGGAGACGCGGGCCAGCGCGCCCCTCAGCCGCGCGGCGGTGGCACCCGCAGCGCCCTCGGACGCGCGCAGCGCCGCCAGGCAGCCCGCCTGGCCGCGGCCCAGCACCAGCACGGCGCGCTGCAGCCGCGCCAGCTGCCCCTCCAGTGCCCCATACTTGGCGGGATCGGCGCCGGGCTGGGAGCACAGCTGCGGCAGCGGCGGCTCCAGCCGCGACTGCACAGGGAGCAGGGCGGGTGGCAGGTGGCAGGTGCCTGGTGCTGTGGAAGGGCTGGGCATTGCTGTCACAGGGCCCTGCCAGGCGGGAGAGACCTGGCACCGCCCGACATGTGGAGCTGGAGCCTCCCATGCCTTCCTGCGGCCTCCAAGGTACCCCCCGCCCACTCCTCGAGGCACTCCCAGCCAAGCATCGAGCCCTCAGCCCCTGGGCTGTTCCTGGCAGTTCCGGACAGTTCCTGGCAGCAAGCCCCCACCGCTCACCGTCTTCAGGCTCGTCTCCAGCGCAGCCCACACCGGCGCCAGCCCCGCCTCGCTGGCGCCCGCAGGCGGCGGCGGCAGCCCGACCTCCGCCGCCGCCGCGCCACTGCCGGCCGCCTGGCGCGAGGCCTCTTCCAGCCCCGCTGTCGCGCAGCACTCGGACGCCCGCGTGTCCACATAAACCCTGATGCCAGCCAGGTAGCGGTCAACTGCGCCCTCCTCGCGTCCCACGTCACGGCCCGCCGCCCAGCCATCGGCGGCGGCTGGCGCGGGCCCGGCGGCGGCGCCCGCGGCCGCGGTGCCCAGCCTGCACAGGCAGGAGCGCGGTTTGCGGGCGCGGGGTTGGTGGGCGGCGGCAGCCGGCTCGGCACGCCCACCTCCGCTGCTGCTGCTCCAGGGGGCAGCCATACCCTTGCCCGACTTGTGCACACCTTCTCCATATCACACACACACACACACACGCACACACACACACGCACACACACACACACACACACACACACACACACACACACACACACACACACACACACACACACACGTGTGAACACACGCACCTGGAGATGCGGGCCCCCAGCCCCCGCAGGATGGCCGCGCACTCCCGCCGCACGTCGTCGTGCGCAGAGCGCACGCACACCAGCACCCCGGCCACCACGTTGGCCGCCGCCGCCACAAAGGCAACTTTGAAGTATCCGATCACGACCTGGGGAGGCAGCCGCGGCAGCAGGGGTGAGGTGCCGGGTGGTGGTGTGGGTGGCAGTGGGGAAGGGAGGGTGGTGCGATGCGCCGCGCCGGCGGCCAGGCAGGTCGCAGCGAGCGGCATGCAGAGGCCGCAGGGAATTGCTTGCACCAGCCGCACAGCTTCTTTTCGTTTCTTTCCTCCACCCACCGTGTCCCAGAAGACCTTGGTGCCCAGCAGGGGCAGCAGGGTGGCAAAGACGAGCATGGAAGAAAGGAAGACCATGAAGATCGCGATGATGATGCCCTGAAGAAAGAAACAGGGGTGGTGGGAGCAGGTGGGCAGGCGGGTGGGCAGGGGCCGGCAGGGGCAGTCCGGGTTAGGCAGGGTTGGGAGCGTTGGTGGGCGGTGGCGCCTTGAGGAAAGAAACAGGTGGATGCAGGCAGGCCGGGGCGGGCAGGGCAAAGCAGGCAGGAGCAGGCCCGCGGCGGGCGCCTCGGTGGGCCGCAATGGTGAAGGGCAGGCAGACAGATGTGGTGGGCTGGCATGCAGGGGCAAGGCTTGCGAGCAGGTACCGGCACGCTCCGGTCAAGGCCCTTCCTCCGCGCCTCAGCCGCCGCACCTTGCCGAAATCGCGGTTGGCGCGGGCGGCGGCGGTGGGAAGGAAAGAAAGCGCGGTGACCACCATCAGCAGCGCCCAGTAGGCCGCCGAGATGGGCGGCAGCACCTCGCCCAGCAGCTCCGACAGCTTCTCCACAGCCGCGTCGACCTGCTCCCAGGACGAGCGGGGGGCATGTGTGTGTGTGTGTGTGTGTGTGTGAAGGAGGAGGACAGCACACATGCAGCCCCGACCCCGATGCTCCGCTGCCTGGCTGGCTTGGTCGACTCAGAACTTAGAGCCGTCCGCGCCGCCCGCTATTCTGCCCTGAGCGCCGTCCGCGCCGCCCGCTATCCTGCCCTGAGCGCCGTCCGCGCCGCCCGCTATTCTGCCCTCCCTCCCTCCCTCCTGCCTCCCGCCAGCCCTCCCGCCAGTCCACCCACCAGTTCTTTCAGCAGTGGCGGCAGCGGGATGGCTGTGAACTGGTCGAACGCATCCTCCAGCCGCTGGATGGTGGCCGTTGGTGGTATGGCCTGCATGCCGCGGAAGAAGAAGGACCAACAGAAAGGAGAACACAGCTCAAGGCGTGCTGGAGGTTGGCTGGAGGAGGCGCGCTGGGAGGTTGAGGGGGCCGGCTGGTTGCAGGCTCTGCGGCAGGAGGCACTCCCCACAGCGGTAGGCGGTACCACCCTGGGACTCCCCTACCTGCATCTCCTCTGGAAGGTACTCCACAAGTGCCTGCCCGCTGCCGTGCGCCAGCCAGGCCAGCACCACCAGCCCGCCGCCTGCACGGGTGCGCCCGCCAGCCAGGGGGCGTATGGTGAGGGTGGTGGGAGGGCGGGCACGCGACACTAAGCCAGCTTGCCAGCCAGCCAGGCGGCCGAGTTGGCTGCCTCGTGCAGAGGCGCGGGGCTCAGCAGGAGTGCGGCAGGCGGGAGCATCAATGCCGGCGAGGCAGCAGACAGGGGCAACTGGGCAGCGAGCTGGAAAGCGAGGCGGCAGAGCAGAAGGTGCCGGCGCAGGTGCAGGCGCAGGCGCAGGCGCAGGCACACACCCACGCCGGCGCCGGTCAGGACCGTCCCTACAAAGATGATGCCGCCAAACAGCCGCCCTCCCACCGATCTATCCAGGGAGAGGACGAGGGAGGAGGCGCTGCAGCCACATGCGGTGGGCAGGGGGTGGGCATGCGGTGGGCAAGGGGTTGGAGCCAACAGGCAGCATGTGCACTACGGCAAGCCTGGGACATGGGCAAGCATGGCGCCACCAGAGCAGGGCGGGCCTGTGGTGAGCCCAATCTGGCGAGGGCAGCCAGCCAGGCCGGCCCCAGCTGGCTGCGCTTGCGGGCTGCACTCGCCTGTACAGCACGCCGCACAGGCAGGCCAGGGTGAACTGCAGGCGCAGCACGACCGCAAACAGGGCTGCAGGGCAGCGAGCGGCAGGGCAGTGAGTGGTTGGGACAGAGACGGCCCGCAGGTGGCGGCAAGAACTTGGCGGCGGCAGCAGCACATAGCGCCCCGGCGTGCTTAGCTGGGCCGACCCACCTGCAAACAGCATCCCCACCGCGTTCTGCGCCGCCCACTGCAGGCCAGGGGGGAGGCATGGGGGTCGCGCACACACACACGCAGCGCACACACAGAGCACACACCGCGCTGAGTACTGTGCCCCGCCAGCCAATGCCGCACTTCGGCAGAGGCAAAATCATGGCTGGAAAAGCACGCCATGTTGCCAAGGTTTGAGTAATGAGCAGGCGGGGACGCGTACCGCTGCACGCTCCGACTGCAGGAAGGCGATCAGAGAAGCGGCCAGCGGCTTCGGTCTGCCAGCCGGGGTGGCGCCGCCGCTGGCGCTGCCGCCTTCTCCCATGCCGACGGCAAGGTCAACCGCTGTGATGAAGATGGTGATGCCTGCGTACCAGGATGCACAATCATAGGTGCAGGTAGCGAGCAGCCCTGGGTCCACTGTTTATGCTGCGGGCGGACTCGGTGCAGCGCCCGTCACGGCGGTGGCGGCGGGGCAGCGCCTGTGCCCCACTAACGCTGCCCGCCAGCCCGCCGCGCCGCGGTTGAATGCATGCATTGGTCATATTCAAGCAGGTTCTGGGGTCTGCGGCGTCCCGCAAAGCACCTGCGCACCGTTCAATGGCCGATGGGAGTGTTCACCGGGCCTGGCGCTCCGTTTGAGCCCTCCTTACGATGCTCACGCGATCAGTGTGATCGTTGTTACAAACTCCAATCCGGTAAGCGGGCAAGGGTCACAAAGTACACGTCGGCATGGACGTTTACTTCCCCTTGCCGTTCCCTTGATGATCCATTATCTATCGGATACGAGAGTAACGCATGCATGCATTTCTGCCGTCATGGTGAAGCCCGCCCTGCCGAGCACCTGTTTCCCGGCGGCGGCGGCGGCGGCGGCTCCCGGCGAAACTTACAAGCGTCGCCGCCAGCAAGATTGGCGGCCAGGAAGCTGCAATGTGACAACAGATGCAACAAGTAAGAACAGAGGGAGCTCTGGGCAGGGGAGGGAAGGCAAGACATGAATCGCGCGCTTGCCGCATGCTGCTGGCTGGCAGGCCGCTCGAGGCCTTGCCGCCGCTCATGGCCGGCAGGGGCGGCCTCAGCGCTGGGATGGCGGTGTGTGCGCAGAGCGTGCCAGGGCGCGGCGGCGCGGCTGGAGCTGCGGCTACAGCTACAGCCGTGGGCGGCCCGTGGTTTACACCCGTGGCAGCGTCTTGCCCAGGATGCCCCAGAGGTTGAGGTTGGGCGGTCGGGTGACGGTGACATACACGTCCAGCCAGCGCATGTACTTGGTGAGGGTGGCGGAGTAGGGCTGGACGATGCGGATGACCATAGAGGACTGCTGGATGATCACCACGCGGTCCTTGCCCCACTGCAGCAGCGCAGGAGGCGGCGGGAGGAGGGGCGAGCGTGGTGACGTGAGGTTGCAAAGGGGGGGTTACGGGGCTCAGGCGAGGCGCAGGGAGGCAACACGAGGCGCAATGCTGGGCTGGGGAGGTGGTGGGCGGGACCAGAGCGGAGGGGAGGGCGCGCCCCCAGCAGCGCAGGCCAGGCACGGTGCTGGGAAGAAAAAAAAGCGGGCGCCCAGATGCATGCTGCCGTTACACGGTGCTGTGCAGCATGCCCACCTCAAACGGCTCGTAGGTCAGCCTGCCCTTCCCCGTAATCTTGACGGAAGATGGCTGGAAATTCTTGTAGTTAAGCTTCACTGCAGGGTGGTAGCGAAGGCAGCAGGCAGGGGCACGGATGCTGCGTCAGCCACCAGCAGATGCCTTGTGCAGGTGTGAACAAGGCATGAGCGCGCTCGGGGGCCGGGACAACCGCACGATGGCGCGCCCGTGGCTGCCACCGCCACCCACCCAGCCCCCCACACCGCAACCACCACGCCAAGACAGCAGCCACGCCACGCCACGTCGCCACCAGAGTCCTCGGCACCAAGCTCACCGCTCAGCCTGTCGCCCCTGACCTCCACCTCAACCAGATCATTCCGCTGAAAGAACACCTTGCCTAGCGCAGAGGTGCCCTGCAGCCGGGGAGGGGCAGCAAGGGGGAATGGCAGCAGGGGCCAGGCGCTCGGCCAGGTCAGCGCAGGCAAACAGCAGGAGGTGGGCACAGGAGCCAGCAGGAGGAGATCAGGATCACAGCAGCAGCTTGGCCATCAGCACACGCAAGTCGCCTCCCCGCGCTGCTGTCGATGCAGGCAGCCCGGGGGCAGCGGGGCGCAGCAAATGCAGCTCATGAGCAGCGGGCGGTGCCGCGCTGCGCCGCGCACCGGTGAGTGGCCCTTCTTCAGCACGCCAAACAGCCGCCACGTGCGATACGCCGCAATCTGCGAGCAGCGGGGCAAGCAGGGTGCGCGGGGCGCAGTCTGTAGCCGGCGCCGGCGTGCAAAGCTGCTGCCACCAGCCTCCCGCTCCACCCCCTGCTCTGCCTCTCGCCCCGCCTTTGCCAAGCTCCAGACCCTCCCCAAGCCCGTTTCGGGCCCAAACTCCAGCACGCGCTGTTTGTTGTGGTTGATGGCTCACGTTGATGGTCTGTGGCAGGATGCCCAGGTGGTCGTATGTGAACTTCTTTCCGTCGAATCCAATGACCTTGGGATCATTGTAGTAGCGCCCCAGCACTGCAGGAGGGAGGCGTGGAGATAGCCGTGACCGCCTGGCTCGCGTGCAGCAGAGGAGGGCCGCGGCGGCCGCGCCGCCACCGCGGCAAGGGGCAGGCGTGTGGCCCGCTCACTGGCGCCATTGTACGTCTTCGTCTTCGTCTATCCCAGACTGCGGTGAGCGGTGGAGAAATACAAGCAGCAGGGCAGAGGCGTGTCAGGAGAGTTGCCCGAGCGGCAGCGCGGCGGCGGCACCACGGGCAGCCCGCCCGCAGTACGCCTTGTTGCAGCAGCAGCGCAGGTGGCAGCGCCGTCCCCCCACCTCTGTCCTGCCGCTGCAAGCAGCAGCGCCAGCCCTAAGAGCAGGGAGGCAGAGCGCATGGTGGAGACGTGGAGGCCGCAGCCAAGAACGCCGTCCGCGAGTCTGGATGGTCAGGAGATGCCTGCACACCACCCAAAACCGACACCGCGCAGCGATAAGAGCGAGGTACCGCAAGCAACACTAGACGAACGCCTCCACGCCGCCCGCCGCCTCTTCCCTTGTGGACGGCAGGGCTCACAGGCGCCAGGAGATACCCAACGCCTGCCCTTAGCGGCTGGCTGGCAGAGGCCGCGGGACTGTCCTGAGCAGCGAGTTTGTGCGCTGCACACCTTGGGTTTGGTCGGCCTGGCGCTCCTCCGCACGTGCTGTCGAACCGGCGGGGGCGAGCGGCGGCCCTGTGCATGGGCGTGGTTATAGCCCCCCTTGGTTGGCAGAGCGTGGCAAAGCAGGCGGCGCCCCCAAGCAAGGCTCCCGCTCGGGGCGTCTCCCTCTCTCATGCACGCGGTGCATGTGACATTCCTGTTGAAATCAGGTCCACACATCAAGCCACATGACGAGCGCAGCATGATTGAATGAATTACAGTGCAGGCTCCTGCATGAAATCCGGCGCTGGATCAAGCGCCGCCGACGGGCAAGCCAACGAAATGCATGTGTCAGAATAGGAATCAAACAATATCAGCCGATGTCAGAGAGCTCCGGTGCAGGAGACGGGTTGGAAGCACACAGAGAAACGTCGCGGGGCGCTGCGTTGGGTAGCCCAGGCTCCGAGGCGGCACATGCGAGCGGGCGAGGCAGCCGCAGTCAGCAGGTTACGCGCTTCACAAAGTCTTGAATGAGAGGGTTGACAAGGTGGGGGGCCTCGTGCATGGGGCAGTGCCCCACGCCCGGCAGCGACACAAACTCCTGCCGCGGCAAAGAGGGGATCAGCAGGGCACGGCGTGGGCGGTCAGTGTGAGAGCTGGCGGTCCGGGGTTGCTGCCACCCGTGCCGAGCACCTGGCGCGCAGGATCACAGGCAGCGGCGGCGGCAGGGGCAGCGGCAGCACACGGCGGCAGCAGCCTGCAGCCCACCTCCACCGAAGGGTACTTTGCAAACTCCCGCCCCCACTCAATCTTCTCCCAAGGGTCCTCCTCGCCCCACACCACCGACACAGGCACGCCCACCGCCTGCACGATAGGGCAGGACGGGGCATGGGTGAAGGCCAGCACGAGGGGCAGCAGCACGACCGCTGGCTGCCGGGCCGGCCGGCATGGCGGTAAACACCCCAAGCCGACGCCTGGCCCCGCCGTTCCAGCGCCCGCCTCCCACAGTGCAGCTGCTGCGCTGCCTGCGCTGCTCGCCCTGCGCTGCCCTGTCACTGCGCGGCGCTCAGCGGCTCGCTGTGCCACCGTCTGGCCTAAACACATAAAAATAAAATCATCACCGCCTGCCCCACCTGCAGCTGCTGCTCGGGCAGCGGCCCCCAGGAGTACGATATGAAGTCAAGGAAGACGTCCACAGCGCCCGGCTGCAGTCCCGGGCTGAGGATGAGGTCAACCAGCTCGTCGGTGACGGCGGCGGGGTCGCCGTAGCACTGCTGCAGCACGCTGCGCACGCCCTGCAGGCGCGGCATGGCGGGGCGGCAAGGGTCGGTGGGTGGGATGGAGGGTGGCCAGGCATGAACGCAGGCTGTGAAAACTTCAGTTCTGCTGCAGCGGCAGCCTGCAGGGCTCCTGTGCACATGCACGACGCAGAGGCCGGCGGGGCTGGCCGGCCGGGCACACACGCACCCGGCGGTTGGCGATCTGCGAGAAGAACCAGGGCCCCAGCGCCGAGGTGCGCAGCGTGTCCTGCAGCGCCCTGACCAGCGGCCGCTGCCACTCCGCCTGCTTGCTGGTGTGCTGCGGGCGGGCAGGCGGGGCAGCAGGCGGGACAGTGAGGTCCGTGGTGAAAAGCAGCAGCCAGGAAGGGAGTGCCAGATGCAGGGGCAGGGGGACAGCGAGACAAGGCCACGGTACAGCAAGCGGCCCAGGCGCGGGGCAGGTTCGCGCGGGGGTCCTGCTGCCGCCACAGCTGCAGGCGCGGCCCCAGCCCGAGCCCCTGCAGCTGCAGCCCAACTCACCAGCATGCGCAGGGAGATGTTCATCACCATCACGCCCCGCACCAGGGATGCATCATCAAGCGCCGCCTGCGGTTGGGTGGGCTTGGAGGGGCATGCATGGGTTTAGAGAGCCGGGCCGGGCCGGGCCAAAGGAGCGGCCGCCAAAAGCTGGGGCATGCAGAGCCACGCAGCATGGCATGTGGCGCTTCCGAGGCGCTTGAACCAGCCCCCACCGCATGCCACCGGCAGGGACAGGCGCTGCGCCGCGCCGCGCCGACGCAGCACCTGCAGGCCTGCGATGCCGCCGACCGAGTTGCAGACCAGCACGGCGGGTTGGCCCATCACGCCGGCCACAAAGTCGCGCAGCTGCTGGCTCCAGGTGTCGAAGTTGTAGATGGATGTGGGCGGCAGCTGGCGCGGGTCGGGCTGCAGGCGGGGCACAGCACAGCACGACGGGGCGGCAGTGAAGGAGTCGTGGAGGGCGGGGCGGGGCAGGCAGGGTGCTGCGCCAGAGCGGCGTGCAGGCATCGAGGCTGGGAGCGGCGGCTGGGAACAGGCAGCCGGGCAGCCGGGCTGCTGGGCCAGCCGAAAGACAAACACAGCGCAGCAGGAGGCGGCAGGAAGCAGGGCCAAGGGCCCAGCAGGGCAGGGACCAGCGGCACGCACCTTATCGGAGTATCCATAGCCCAGAAGATCGATCGCATACACCTGGCAGCTCTCGCCCAGCACCGGCAGGTTCTTGCGCCAGTGGTCTGCCGACGCGCCAAAGCTGCACGCAGGCAAGCACAGGTGGAGAGGTGGGGCAGGCACGGCGGCGGCCGCGGCTGGCCAACGCGCCGACACGTGGGGTTTCGCTCACCCGTGCACGCACAGCACCGCAGGCCCGCTGGTTCCGGAGCGCTGGTAGCGGATGCGGCGGCCCTGCCACTGCCAGTAGCCCTCAAAGATGCCGGGCAACACCTCGTGCTCGTCGGCGGCGGCGGCAGCGGCGGCCGAAGGCACCGCGCCGGCAGCTGCGCTGCTCCTGCTACCGCCAGAGCTGGTGCTGCTGCTGGAGGAGGCGGCCGCCCTGCAAGCCGTCCGGGAGGGGCGAGTAGCCTGAAGGGTTCGCCGAAAGGCTGGCGGTTCAGCCGCCTGCCGCCACGACGTGCAAGCACCGTGGGCAACTGTGGCTGCCATGTGAACACCGCGCGATGCAGCTGGTGCACAGCGCAATTCTATTGTGGGCCAGCGCTCTAATGCGGGTGCAACGCCCAGGATCGCCAAAGCGCCGCCAAATCGGTTGGTAAAGCGATCGCTAAGGGTACAGCCGCCATGGGACAGCTTTTGTCTGGCGCCCGCTCACGGCCACCTCAGCGCGCCGCTGCGCCGCCACAAGCGTGCAGGGGCGTTGGATGCTTGCATTTGGCATCTGAATCCCGTCAAGTAGAGAAGTAGGATTCATATTGGGTCATCACAATTTGCAGGGCTGCAGCATTTGACGTCCTGCCGCTGGCTGGCACTTTGCGGTTGACTGCCCAGCGTCGCTGGCCGCTCGAGCGCTTGATGCTGGGTGTAGCCAGCCAGGTGCACGCCAGCTTGATGCCTAAGAGTTGAACGTGCCCATCAATACGCCTGCCCTTGCATGGAGATCTTGATGATCATCAGACGGTCAGACAGGGAGAGGAGTAGACAGCAGGGTGAGGGTCCACCCAGCACGGCGGCCCAGGATCGTGTGGAGCACCCATGCCAGGCGTTCTGCAACTCGGGAGGTGGCACGAGGCGAGCCATGTGCTGTTATAACGGTTGTACTCTCGGGGCCCTGTACAGCAAGCGCTCGCCTTTGAGGACCATCCATCGCCCCTTGCGCTCCTTCCTCGTCCTCTCCGATCGCATCTTGGGATTGCTGAAGAGGGCCCACCTCGCCGTGCAGCCCTGAGACGGCACGGTAACTGCGCCTCTGACCCTCTGACCCTCTGACTCTCCCACCGCGGGCCGGCCCGCCTCTCCCGGGCGGTGCATAGCCCCCATCCGATCGCCCAAGGGTGCAGCAGGGACGAGCGGGCCGCTGCGCTTAGGGCTCCATTCAACATTCGGAGTGGCTCGTATCTTTGCGCTGAAGGAGCCCGGATGGCCGCGCTGCTGGACCACACGGGATGGCTGGAGGAGGCCGGCATGGCTGGAGAGGCATGCGGGCAGGTGGGCGGAGTTGCGGGGTGACGCCCGTCTCTCTTTGCGCCAGCGCCGCCGCCGCCGCTGGCACTGATGGTCTGATCACGGCTCATTACTGGCCCATTTGCAGGACGGCTCCATGGCCGGGAGCAGGCCCCTGTCCCTCGCCAGCAGCCTCGCCGCCAGCATCGGAAGCTCCCTTGGCTCTGCCGGTGACCTGGCGGGCGTGCTGACCCGCAGCAGCAGCAGCAGCAGCAGCAGCGGCGGCAGCGCCGAGCTGCCCGCCGTCGCGGCGCTGCAGGGCGGGCCCGCGCCGCGCCAGCACGGGATGGCAGCCCCCGTGCCCTACCGCACCGCAGAATCCATCAGCGCCTGCAGGCTGCTCCGCAACTACTCTTCCTTCGACGGCCTGGAGGTGCCTGCGCTGCACCAGGCCGCCGCCGCCGCCGACGCCGCGGCGTCGGCGCCGCCCCGAACAGGGCCGCCGCCAGACGTGCTGCTGGCCGCGCTCTCCGCCTCCCTGGCCGCCCAGAAGCAGGCTCGGCAGCTGCAGCCCAGCCGCGGCCCGCAGCAGCCGCTGCGCCCCACAGCCCCACTGCCAGCGCCGCCGGCCGCGTACGGCGCCAGGCCCGCCTTCGCCTGTGCCACCTGCTCCTGCGCCTTCACCGATGCCGCTGCCTACCACGAGCACTGCGCCTCCCTGGAGCACACGCTGAACATCCTGCAGTGCAGCCTGGCCCTCGCCGTGCCTCACATGCCGGCGCAGGCAGCAGGTGGGGTCACTTTCATCTGCCCGCCACGCGACCTGCTCAGGCAGCACTCCACTGCGCGGCACACTGCAGGCGCGCTGCAGCGGTTCCTGCGGCGGCGGGCACCCCTGAACATCCTGCCTGCCTGGCTGCCCCCTGAATGCAGGCCTGTGCGCATCTCCGAGCTGGCAGCAGGCCTACGTTACGGAACCTGCAGCCGGCGACGGGCAGCCTGGCAGCGGGCCGCTGGCCGCCTCGCCACCCAACGGCGGCCCGCCCCCATTCTCTCGCACAGGGCAGCTGGCAGCCTGTTGGGAGCAGGGCAGCCTGCTGCGGCCCTCCTCTAGCACAACCCTCACGCTCGAGGCCTGGGAGCGCCCAGCCAGCGCCTCCAGCCTGCCGCCTGCTGCCGGGCTTGGGCCCCACGGCACGCTGTTCCCAGCTGCCGACCAATTGGCCAGCCTGCTCCGGCAACCGCTGGCGGCCGCCCCTGCCAGCGGCGTGCTCCCCACAGCGCCGCCTGCGCCGGCAGCCCTCCCGCTGGCGCCCGTCTCCCTCACGCCATGCCTCAACCAGGTGGGTGTGTGCGGGTGTGCCGGCACTGCCAGGCGGCTTTGGCTGGTGCAGGCGCTACAGTTCTTCCCGCCAGCACCTGCATCGTGCTATGCTGTGCTGCACTGTGCCTGTGTTGCGCCTGCGCCTATCCCATTCCTGCCCTGCCCACCACCCACCAGCAAATGACAGCCCTGGCACTCCTGACCCCCTAACCCCCCTGCCTGCCTTCATGCAGGTCATCGACCCTCAGCTGGATGCGCTGTGCCACGCCTTGGTCAAGAAGATGCGCCAGCTGGACGGCGTGGAGCGTGCAGTGAGCAGCCTCGGAGCGGCGGGCAGCCGCAGCAGGGAGGGCAGCCCCGGCCCCATCGCGGTGCGGCGCATCGTGGGCGGCCTGCGGGAGGTGGGTGGGGAGCCGCAGGCGGGGTGGGTGGGCTGGGCAGCCCGGTGTGCGGTGGGCCTTGTACCTTGCGACGCGCTGAGCCTGCTGCCCTCACCTGCTGCCACGCTTCTCTGCATGCTATCGAGTGGCGCGTATGCCGCGACGTGGCCTGCGGCGCCCTGCCGCCTGGCCGGTGGGCAGGCAGGCAGGCGGGCGGCCGCCGCCCAGGGGCAGCAGCCCCCTGACCATTGCAGCCATGCCCGGTGCCGCGGCGTGGTGCAGGTGCGCAAGGCGGTGAGGAATGGCACCGCAGCCGCCATCATTTCGGCCGTCGACATCCAGGCCAACAGGCCGTCCGATGCCCAGGACCCCAGCACGTCACCAGTGAGCAGGCAGCGGCGAGGCGGGCAGCAGCAGCGCTTGCCCAGCGCCCGTGCAACCCATGCGACCCACGCTGCTACCATGGGACGCTAGAACTGTGGCATACTATTGCAGCTTGTGCCGCTTGTCCTCACGCTGCTTGTACCGCTTGCCCTTGCGCCGTACCGCCTGCGCCGCCGCAGGTGCAGCCCGGTGCAGAGATGGCGGAGATCTGCCGCCTGGCGGCCGCCCACGGCATCCCCGTCGTCTTTGCCCTCACCCGCATCGGCCTGGGCTCCATCTTTGCGGCCAACAAGCGCATGTCGGGTGAACACAGCACAGCGCAGCACAGCACAGCACGGCACGGCACGGCACGGCACAGCACAGCGAGGGTGCAGCGCAAGTGACGCGCCCTTCCCTCGCCTGCCTGCCCCGACCCGGGATGCCCGCCTGCCCCTGCCTGCAGCCGTGGCGCTGACCAACATCACTGGGGTGGAGGCGCTGGTGCAGCATGTGCTGCAGCTGGCTGCCCAGGCCCGCGCCAAGTTCGCCCTGGTGGCACACGCCCCCAAGCTCTACTGGCCCGGCCCGCCAGCTAGCAGCAACGTATGACCGCCGTAAGAGCCAGTGACTGCCACCTCAGGCAGTAACTGATGGCTTACAAGCAAGGCGATGCCCCCACAGCCACATCTGATGAAATGCAACACCGAAATGCAACACTTATCCATTGATGCGGCGCAGCCCGCCTGCTATTGTCCGCCAGGTGGCGTCTTCCGCCACACCTGCCGTGGCCGCTGCCTTGCACAATCACCTTTTATATTCTAACCGCCCAAAACAGAGGCGGCGACAGGCCAGCCTGCCATGAGTGCTCCTAAGTGTCTGACTGTTTCTTCCGTTCCGTGTTTTCCATCTCTTGCCGAATCAACCCACTGCCGTGTGTACTGACCCAGCACCCTGCCTATGCTGGGTCTCACTTTTCAAGCACTGTTGCTAGAAGGCTAACATGCTAAACACCACCCATCGCCGCCGCCTCTGGCAACCGCACCCAGATCTAGCAGCCACCTCACCTCTTTTTGCATAGCGATTCTCCTGTTGGCACTTGATTGGAATATTGTGGGCTGTGGCTCACACATGTGCACTCTCCCTCCCCCATGCACCCACTATTTGCACTGCTACCTTAGCTGGATGCCCCCTTAGCTGCGCGTCCGACACTATATGCCGCCTGCGCGCCCAACAACTATATGCCGCCTTCCGCTTCAACAACTATATGCCTCTGCGCGCCCAATAACTATATGCCCTCTGCGCGCCGAACACTATATGCCTCCTGCTGCACGGTACTGTGACGATGTAATTCCTGCCTGGCACACAGCTGCGGCTCAGCTGCGACACACAGCGAACGCGGCAGTGTTACATGTATGAAAGGGTGATGCACGTGCAAGCAGAGCAGAATGCAAGGGCCAATGCGGTGCGGATGAGCAAGCAGGGGAAGACACACGCTGGGGCGGGAAAACTGCGCTGCCGGCAGGGCAGATGAGTGAAAGCGGAAAGGAGTGCACATGGCATGGCGGGTGTGTTCAGTTCCTGTGGGGCAGGGCAGGGGTGGTCCCTGCAAGGTGACCTGATGCATGTCGGTTTGGCCAGGCAGGTGCTGGACCCTCAGGCGAACATGCGGATGTAGTAGGAGGCTGCCTTGCCGCACTGCAGGCAGGCCGGGAACTGCGCCAGCTTGTCCGGCAGGGGCATGCTGTCGGGGAGGCACTCTGCAGCAGCATGCGGCAGGCAGGCGGAACGAACGCGGGAGGCAATCAGAGTAGGGCGGGCAAGCTACCCCCTCGTGCTTGATCACGGACATGGCTGCCGGCACGCTTTGGCACAGCAGGCACAGCGCAGCGGAGCCGTTCTCTGGCTGGCTGGATAGCTCACCGGGGCAGTGGCCGTGGTGGCCGCAGGGGATCCAGATATTGACCGACTCCCGCTGCTTGCACTTGACACACGGGTTCTTGACAGGCGGCGCCGCCGCAGGCGCTGCCGCTGCAGCCGCGGGCTCCGCAGCAGGAGCGGCGGCAGCGGCTGCAGGGGCGGCGGCGGCTGGTGCAGGAGCGGCGGCCGAGGGTGCAGCTGGGGCCGCGGTGGCAGGAGCCGAGGGCACGACTGCGGCGGCTGCGGCGGCAGGGCCCATAGGCGGACGGTACACTCCTCCCATAACTGGGCGGTACGGCCGGGGCGCTGCTGCTCCCACAGGGGCAGCCGGTGCTGCTGCCGGGGCCACTGGCGCCGGCGCTGCTGCTGCTGGTGCTCCTGCCGGGGCTGCTGGTGCAGGCGGCGGCCGCGCGGCCTGTGGGCTGCTGGCTCCCGGCGGGCGCTGCCCCGGGAACAGCGAGGAGAAGCTGGCAAAGAGGCCGGGGCCGGTAGGGCCGGCCGGGCGCGGGCCCGGCGCTGCCGGGGCCGCCGCGGGGCGCGCCGCTGCTGCCGCGGCGTAGCCATACGCCGGCGGGGCCGCCGCCGCGGCGCTGCTGAGCATCACTTCCGCCACCCGGGCATCCTGCGCCAAGCGCTGCCGCTCCTCCAGGCGAGCCTCGGCTATCAGCTGCTCCTGCATCTGCCGCGCCAGCTCAGCGTCTCGCTCCTCCTGCTCACGCCTGCAGCCGGGGCAGCGGACGAGCGGCAGCCGGGCAGGCGGCCAGGTCAGGCAGCGATACACCGCGGATAGGCAGGGGGAGCGAGGTGGCAGCGGCAGTGCCGGCGGGGGGCTGGCCAGTAATAAGGCAGGCCCAGTCATGCCGTTCAGGAGGACTTTAGGGTGAAAAGATTGACCAGGGTGCAGAAGGACACTCACCGCAGGCGCTCAGCTCCCCACACCGGCGCGTCCTGCTGCTGCTTGCGCTGCGCAGCGCCGGCCGCCGCCCCCGGCGCCCCAGCCAGGTGCGGCGGCAGCGGCGCCAGACCGGCGCCGGCGTTGCTGCTGGCGCTGTGCACGGCGGCCCGGGCCACTCCCTGTGGGGCTGAGCGAGCCGCCTCCACCTCCGCTGCATGCCGCTGTTCCTCCTGCTCGTGCTCCACCAGTGCCAGCACGATGGATTGCATCTGCAGGAAAGCGAGGGGCAGCGTGAAGAATTGTGATGTTGTACACATCACCCAGCACCCCAGCCAGCACGCAACATCACAGGCTGGGCCCGCCTGCAGACCCCTGGCACACGTCTGCTGCAGCAGTACTGGTGCCCTCCACACTACCCAACCACCCACATGCACACACGCAGCGCTCACCGTGGCTGCGGGCAGCTTCTGCGGCAGCTTCACCGCGCCGCCCTGCCACTGCAGCAGCCCCGACACTCGGTCCAGCGGCAGCGCAGGCATGATGCGCTCGGCCTTGAAGGATACCACCTCCCGGGAATCCTCCAGGTGGGTCTGCGGTATGGATTGCAGTACCAGGGCGGTATATCAGCAGTACGCGGGTGTAAAAGAGAGCAGCACCGCGCAAAGTGGGTGCGGTACAGTCTGTTGGTGAGGCGCTGAAGGGCATTAAACGTGTGGAAGGGAGGGTGTGTGTGGTGAACGCAGGCCAACCACAGCGTGCATAGCAAGCATGCCACGTCAGCGCCGGCAGCGAGCGAGGACAGCTGGAAAGACCGTGCGCACCCGTTGCTGCCCGGCCCACACCCCGTGGATACGCCCTGCCTGGGGGTCGCACATCAGCAGCGCTATGCTGCCTGCAGGGCGGGGAGCAGGGAGGGCGCAAGGGCCAGGGCGGCGCAGCAGGCGAGAGCGTGTCGGGCAGGCCACAAAGCGCAGGGTCCACAGCAAGGCAGCCCAGCAGGGCAGGAGGGCAGCGCGCATGAGAGGCGCGGCTGCAACCAATCGACAGGTGTGCGGTGCGAAGGCGCGGGACGGGGTGGGCCCACTGCAGCGAGCACCAGCACAAGAGCTCCCCATCGCTCTGCTCACCAGGAGTGACCAGCCCAACCTTCTCCAAATAGGCCACCGGCAGGCCAAAGGGCTCGTCCCCATACTCGAGGTACGCTTGGTAGTGCTGCGGTACAGCAATGCAGGGCAGTACATCAGCACAGCACCAGCAGCATGCCCTCCACCACCCCTCGGCCCGGCGCTCCGCGTGCGTGTGCGTGCGTTTGGCAGGCATCCTGCCAGGCTGGCGGGCGCCCTGTCAGGCGGACGCCTGCCTGCTCGCTCACCGTCTCGCTGGTGGCGATGAGCTGGCCTGACAGGAACTTTGTGACAAGGGGGTCGCTGCTGGGGTCCTGCTGGGGCCGCTCTGCTGCCGGAGGCGCCGGCTGCGGGCAAAACTCCGAGGCAGCCACTCGCAGGCTGCCATTGGCGCCGCCGCCGCGGCCAGCCGAAGGCTGCGCCGCGGCGCCGGCGGCAGCAGAGGGGCTCAGCCCTCCGTAGCCGCTGCTGTAGCTGCCTGCGCCGCTGCCGCCGGCACCCGCAAAGTCTCCCGTGCCGGCCACCGAAAGGGGCGCCCGGCCGCTGGCTGCAGCAGCGGCCTTCCCGGGGATGGTGATCGTGATGCTGGGCTGGCTGCGGCTGGCGCTGCCGGAGGTGGGCCTGGCTGACTGGGCGTCTGCCGCGTACAAGTGCGCCCAGCTGCTGCTGCTGCTGCCCGCCTCCTCCTCCTCCTCGCTGTCATCCACGCCGTCGGCGCGCCTCCTCGCCTCCTCCTTGTGCGCCTGGGCCAGCGCCTCCACCTCTGCAGGGGCCGACCGGCACCGGACAGACGCGCACGCTCAGGTGAACCAGGCAAAACGAACAGTGCAGGGGAGCGGGCAGCCATTCCAGCGGCGGCAGCAGGGGCAGGGGGCGCTGTGCCCGTTCGCCTCCCAGCCATCCCCAGCGCTCCATCCATGCATCCATCCCAACCCCGCCTCCCCCTCCCCCTACTTGCCTGCCTCGCCGGGCATGCAGCGCAGCATCATGGCGGTCAGGCGCGAGTGCAGCAGCACCTTCTGGCTGAGCAGCATGTAGGCCTGATCCCAGGGAGCAGCAGGTGGGGGGCAGGGGAGTGATGGTCAGGTGGGAGAAGGGGAGGCAGGAGATGCGGCACGAGAGGCAGGCGGCAGGGAAGACGTGGAGCAGGAGGCAATAGAACCAAGGGTAAGCGGCGGGAGGACCTGAGGCAGGCTACGGCATGCACCACTGATCACCCCCACACACCTTGTACGCTGCGGCTGTGTTGCGGAAGGACACCAGCGCAGCCTTGCAGGCCTCATACATGCGCAGCTCCTTGACGGGGCCATACTCTGAGAACGTGCTTCTGCACGCGAGGCAGGAAAAGGAGAAGTGGCCGGGAGAGGGTCAGGCTAGCCAGCAGCTCAGGAACGACAGAGCCAGCTGCGCAGCCAGCCTGCGATGCGTGGTTGCTGGGCAGCGGCTGGGCCATGAGTAGCAGCAGCCCCACCACCACCACCACCAGCGCCGCCACCGTCGCCACACCGCGTGCCTGAGGAACATCTCCGGTCGGATGCCCTCGTCGTCGTGCATGCGCCGGTAGTCCAGATTGCCCACCAGCACCACCGAGGGCCCGCTGGGGTCGTCTGCGGGGCCAGTCAGTCGTGGGCAGGCTTCAGGCGGCAGGGGGCGGTTTGTTCCGCGGGGCTGGCAGCAGGGCAGGGTGCGGCGGGGCAGGGCCGAGCGGGGCAGGGCGAGGCCCCCCACACAATCCACTGCAGATCCGGGACGGGACGAGGCCTGCTGAGGCAGGCAGGGCGGCGAGGGGAGGGACCCACGGGCCAGGCAGGCGGGGCGGCCACCCCTACCGGGCCTAAACTCTCGCGCCCTGAACGACCGCAGCGCGCTCAGCAGGGCCGCGCTGTGCAGCTCGCGCGCAGCACGCTCGCCATCCTCCCTGCCCCGCTTCTCCTGCAATGCACGCAGGCAGGCAGCCAGTCAGGCACGCCGCGCGAGGAACGGGTCGGCGCAGCCGGGCGCCGTCCTCCGCCATGCCTGGCCGCCACCCACACGCATCCGTGCGGCCACACCGGCTGCCGCAACCAGAGCCCCCAGCCGCAGCGCCGGCCACTGGCTGCTGCGGCACATGGCAACCCACCAGCTCGGCAATCTGCTGGGCCTCATCCAAATCTGGGAAGTCCAGCGGGCTGACCTCCAGGCTCTGCAGGGACACACGCAGCGGGGCGCACAGGGGCAGCATGAGCGGTGGACGTGTGTGTGGGTGTGGGGAGCATGGGCGGTGTGGGTGGCCAGGCGAGGAGGTGTGCGAGAAAAACACACAGGAAACGTCTTGCGTCTGGGCAGAGCAATCAAGGCCAGCAGGGAAGCTGGCACCTGCAGCGCGGCGCCACGGCAGGCCCCTTGGCTGGTCGGCGGCCACCCGCCCGCCGCACTCCTCACTCCATACGCACCTGCAGGCGCCGTGCGAGGCCGCCCTCTGCCTCCTCATCTCCCGCCATCCCCTGCTGCTCCAGCGCCTGCCTGCGCTGCTCCGCGATGGACGGCGCCCCGAGCACCAGCTTCACGCCCTTCTTCTTGCGCTTGTCGGGCTGCAGGGGAGGCGGCGGGGCCGGTAGGGAGGGCAGGGCGGGGCATGCCAGGGTCAACAAGGGCTTCACCAAAAGGGTTTGGGGCGGGTGAGAAGTAAGCACTGGACATGCCCGATAAACGTCCAGAAAACCCAAAGGGAGGACCCAGCAGCCCTGCAGCCCCATCCAACCAGCCAGCAGCCGCACCCAAAGCCCACACACCTTGCCATCCTCGTACTCTATGCCGCCATCCCGCGCAGGCGCCTTGCCCTTGTCCTTGCCCTTGCGCCGCCCCATGGCCATTAGCTCCTCCTCGTCGCTGTCTTGCCGCTTGAGGGCCTGCACAGGCGGGCAGGCGGCACAGGGAGCGCTCAGCTCTCACTCAAGGCGGACGCCTGGCTCACAGCAGGGGCAGAACAAGGGGCACAGCAGCCTGAGGCGCTGCGCAGCCGCCCAGCGCTTGCATAGTAGCAAGCGCGGCGACACAAATGGATGGCGGGAGGTGAGGTGCATGCCACTGGCCCCACGCACCCGCAGGTGGTGGTCGTCTGGAAGCGCAGGCGTTGGGGCGGAGGGCTCCTCATCCTCCTCGGCCGCTGCAGCCCTGGGGGAGGGCCGCGACGCAGCCGCGGCCGCCGGCTGCGCGTCCTGCTGCTCCGCCTGCTGCTCCTCCTCTAGCTGCTGCTGCTGCTGCTGCTGCACGCGCTGTGCCTTCCTGCTGCCGAAGCTGGCCGTGGCGGGCTCCTGAGGGGCGAGGGGTGCGCAGCACAGGTGCGGGCAGATGCCTCAGGACACCAGGCCAGGCCAGGAGCAGGAGCACGCGGGAGAAGCCAGCGGCGACAGCAGAGGGAGCAGCCCGCACCACTGCAGCACCAGCGGCAGCAGCGGCGGCCCGCGTCACCTCCTCCTCCTCCTCAGCCGCCTTGGCCTTTCCCTTCTTGAACCGGAACCGCCGCTCCTTGCCCTGCGCCGCCTGGTACCTCACCCATTCCGGCTCTTCCTCCTCCACCTGCTGCTGCGCCGGCGTGCCAGCCTGCTCCTTCTGCGGTTACAAGAATCGGATCGGGGTTCAGGGATGAGGTAGGGCGAGATGTTTATAGACGCCCTGAGGAAGGGAGGCGTGCGCGGGAGCGGCGTGCCAGGCATGCCGCCGCTGCCCAGGCCCTCACGCTCCGTTGCAATCACCTCCACCCACACAGCACCACCACCGAACCAACCCACCACCCCACCACCACCCACCCACCTTGACCTCCTCCTCGATGTTGAGGATGGGATACTTGTTGGGGCCCTCGATGAACACCAGGATGCCGTCGCAGTCGGGGCGCACACACTTCTTGCGGTCGCTCTGCAGGTGCAGGCGGGGCGGGTGGGTCAAGCTCAAAGCCAGGCAGGCTGCCACTACTAGTAATCAGGTTACGATGCACGGCAGCCCTCGCTTGCCAGCGACGGTTCCGGTGCCCGACGGCGGCCGCAAGAATGCAACGCAAGGCCCTGCCAAGCAGCAGCAAGCTGCCCACCCACCTTCTTGTAGTAGCTGAACTTGAAGTCCTTGCCAGATACCATCTCCTCCCCGCCCTTGCCATCCACCATGCGCACTGCGGCATTGGGGGTGGCGGGGAGCACCACGTGCGGCTGGGTGAGCGGGGAAAAGTGGTATGGGGATGGGGCGGGGAGAGCAGCAGGCACAGGAGCAGGCAGCACGACGGGTGGAACGGAAGACGCGGCCAGCACACCTGTGTCCTTGCGCCAGCAGGGCTTGTGGTACAGCAGGCGGTGGCCCGCCGAGCAGCGCAGCTCGTAGCGGTCTGACTGGGAGGCTGCAGAGCAGGCAGCGGCGATGGCCGTGGTTGTGTATAGCGGCAGACGGCGGCGGAGTGCTTAAACGTGCATGCTTGGGGGCCATTGCAGGCCAAAGCGGCAGGTAGACGTCCACAGATCAGCGAGGGGTGTGGCCAGCATCGGCCAGCAAAGGAAAGGCAGCAGGAAGAAAGGCTGGCAACGTACCCCGGAGCAAGCCGTGGGCGTCGGCGTGCCCCTCTGTGCAGTCGTCACCCAGGGCGCAGCCGGCAAGCACTGCGGGAGTCAAAAAGGCGCCAGGGGGAGCACAGGTCAGCGCACAGAGGATTGCAGGCAGGGGGGAGCGCCTTCAGGCGGTCGAGCGGCAGCGGCCTGCATGTCGCCCATCCCCTGCCAGCTGGCGCCCACCTGGATCCTCCACTTCCGCCTCCTCATCTTCTTCCAGGCCTGCTGCTTTGCGCAGAGCCTTGCGGTGCCTGCGCCACAGCAGTACAGGCAAGCACAGGCAGGCAAGAGGTGGGTCGGGAGGCAGGCTGCTGCACAGGCTGCTGCCAAAAGCGCTGCCAGCGAGGGGCTAGACAAACACCCCGAAGCCCGAGGCACCTAGCCTCGGAGGCCCAGCGCAGCCCTAGCCCGGCCCAGCCGCAGCCCAGTCCCAGCTGTAGCTCAATCCAGCCACAGCCCCAGCCCGCGCGCAGCCTCGGCCTCCCCTCATGCGCAGCTGACTCACTCCTCTTCCATCTTGAGAGCCGCCGCCAGCTCGTCCCCGGTCGCCCTCTCCGCCTCCACACGCTCTACCTTCACCGGCTCCGCCGGCGCCTTCTTCTTCTTCTGGTGCGCAGCAAACTGGGCGGCGGGCGGCGGCTGCAGAGGCACCTGCGCCCGCGCCCCGCCCCGTACCTCCTCCCGCGCACCGCTCCCTGCAGGGGCGGCAGCGGGCAGCAGCAGGGGTGCAGGCAGGTGAGTGCCCGGCATGGCGCGGCCGGGTGAGCATCTGCTGCAGGCGTGGGGAGGCTCCCGCAGCAGGCCACAAGGAGCTACTGCTGACAGCAGCGCCACACGGCCGACACACCAGTGGCAGAGTAGGGGCGGGACGAGCGCTCCGGGACGGCGCCGCCGGGGGTCTGCGTCTTGTTGAAGAAGCCTGCAGACCAGGAGGCGTGCGTGTGTGCTGGGGCGGGCAGGTGGGCTCTGGGGGTTTGTGCAGCGAGTGGCGCGCCACCCCGGGCTGGGCAGGGCAGCGGCCGACGAGGCGCAGCGCAGCTGCGCGGCTGCCGCGCCCGGCCAGGCCACCGCAGAGGCAGGCCACAGCCTCACCTGCGTTGAGCGGTGAGCCCCTGGCTGCCCGGCCCTTGGGCCCCCTGGCCCCGCCGGCCCCTCCTTCGCCAGCATATCCTCGCGTCCCGCTGCCACGGCTGCCGCCCGGCGGGCCGTAACCTTCGTCCCCCGAGTCCCCAGCGTCACTGGCGTCAGACACCAGGCCCGGCACGTCGGCGTCGTCGTCGCTGCTGCTGTCGCTGCCGCCGCCCAGGTTCTGCGGCCTTGGCGCGGCGCCGGCGCGCTGCTGCTGCTGCGGCGGCTGGGCTCCGTAAGGGACGCCCCCTTGCCCAGCCACACCTGCAGTTCAAGAGGCAGGCTATGTGGCGGATGTGGCGAGGCCTGCGCCGCCTACAGCCTGGCGCACTCAGCAAGCTCCTCCCGCCTTGCCTGCAACCATCTCCACAGTGACTCCGCGCAGCAGGCGCGCCATGCTCGGCATGCCCTCATCGTCGTCGTCTTCATCCTCCGCAGCTGCCCGCCCCTCTTTCCCCTCTGACTCCTCATCAGGTTCCTCTGCAACCAGCGGAGCAGCAGCCGGTCGCCAGGGAGTGCGGGGGAGTGCACAAAACACTGCTCTGAGGCCTCGCTGCCATATGCACCAAGCAGTAGGCGGTGCGGTGGCGGGCCAGAATGCAACACGCGGGGGTCGGCGCCGCAAGCAGCATGCAGGAAGCGGGCGCAGAATGCAACATGCGGGGGGCTGCAAAGGGAGAGGCAGGCCAGCCTGCCAGGGGGGTGCACCCACCTATTAGGCCTGGCAGGCTATCATCGTCTGTTGTGTCACCCGCCGCCACACCAGCTGCCGGCCGGCCCCCCGCTGCCCCTCGGCCCGCTGGTTGGCGCGCGCTGCCGCCCGCGCCGCGCTGCTGCTGCGGCTGCTGGGTGCCGGCACCACGGCGCGGGGCTCGCGTCTCTGAGTCGCTGGCATCTGTGTCGTCGTCGGCGCTCGCCAGGTCAGGCATGTCGTCCCCGCTGTCATCCTGGATGATCTGCTGCTTGTTCAAGGAATAGGTGGTCTGGCGGGGAGGCATGGCGCCCGTGCTCTCCCACCCAGCCCTGCACAGGGGAGCCGGACGAGGGACCCGGGGCCAGGAGCGGGTGAACGTTGCAAGCCGGCTGGCGGCAGCGGCGGCAGCACGGCGGCGGCAGGCGGCAGCCGCCAGTGGCCTCCACGCAGCGGCGATGACGGTATGTAGCTTCTTGGCGACCCTTCCTAACCTAAGAAGGCCCCAGGGCTATGCAAGAGACTGGGAGGCCCCAAGCTGGTTTTGGCCCGCCTGCAGCGCGCGCATGGCCACGCCTACGCAATAAGAGCGCCAAAAGTGGCATCACCGACCTGCTCCACAAGAGTGAGGTGCGCGATCAGCAAATGCCGCTTGCACACACGACCCTCTGACTCCCCACCCCAGTGCAGGGACTCAAGAAGATTGGGGTGAAGCTAATTGGATTGGAAGACGCAGCGCAAGGGTAAAGAAGAGCCCAAGCGCTCTGCGCTGTGAGCGCTGGGCGTCATCGTCGGCGGCGGCGTGGAATTGGTCTCCCCATGCTGTACTCCTCTGCTGCGTTGCTCAGCCTGTTTGGTGTCACAAATCCGAGGCAGGCCACCGACGGGCAGGTGCGGGCACGCCGCCCCTGCCGTCAAATCAGGAAGGAAGCAAGTTCTTTGCTCACAGTCTCAAGCACATACACAAGTTAGGCGGGGCCTAGACATATAGCGGCCAAGCGCACCAGGTGCAAGGCCATAATTCTTTGGCATAGTTGGGTTCTCTCGGGCAAAATTGGAGCCTCGGCGGGCCAGCGCAGAGGCGCAGCGAGGCAGGCGCCGTGCCGCGATTTGCAGAAAGCAACGCGGTCCGCTGCCCTTTGCTCGCAACCTTCTGTGGCCAGTCTAGGCTGGCTCAGACGTTGACCTCGATCTCGCCGCTCTCGGCGATGCGCGCCTCGAAGGTGGGCAGCGGCTTCGGGGTGTCGCCAATCTTTCCAATCTGCAGCGGGGTATACACGGGCCGCACGCGTGCGCAAAGGTCGGGAGCAGCGCGAGGGGTGTTGCAGCAGCTTGAAGGTACTACTGGGAACTGGTTCCACCTGCCTGCCTGGTTGCCAAAAAGCAACAAGCACTTGGGAATACAGGTCGTGCAACAAGCACTTGGGAATACAGTGCGCTGCCGAGCCCTGCGACCAGCCAAAGCACAGGCAGCGAGCGCACCAGGGGCAGATTGGGCATCTTGGGGCACCACTCGCCCACCGGCTGACCGGTGGTGAGGTCAAACTTGGTTCCGTGGGCAGGGCAGGTGACGCAGCTGCGAGGCCAAGAAGCGCGGCGAAAGGAAGCACAGTGGGGGAAGGTGTGGCAGGCGGAAGAGTGCAGCGGCCGGTGGGTGTGAGGGCTGGGCAGCTAGAGTCGGGGCACGGCGGCACAGCAGCAAGCCTGGTGGCGACATGAAGGGGCAGGACACCGCATGAGTGGCAAGGAGAGGGTGGGCGCGCGCTGTGAGCTGCGTGCCGGCCGCTTGGCAGCTAGCGCAAGGCAGAGCTTCTAAAGAAGCCCACATGCAGGTGCCAGGCAGCACGGCAGCCCATCCCAGCCAGCAGCCAGCAGGATCCTGCATATTGCGGCCCCCTCCACTCACCCATTGGCCACCTCGGCTTGGAACACGGGGGTCTTGCCCACCAGCGGCAGCCCCAGGTGGCTGCACTTGTTGCTCACCGCCTTGATCTCCTCGCCCACCGCCGCCAGCAGGATGCGCTGGCCGCCAATCTCCACCACCTGCATCAAGGCAGAGGCGGGGCCGGACCAAGCAACAGGAGGAGGCTGGGATCAGCCAAGTGGCCTCTGTGCCGCTCTGCGGGTCGTGGCTGCAGGCGGGTCGCTCCGTGCCAGGCACGCACACACCCTGCACGGCAGCAGCGAACCTGAGCATGAACCGCACCTTCTTGCCGGCGGCGGCGCCAATCTCATGATCCTTCACGCCAGTGGGGGTCCATGCCGCCTGCAGAAGCGGGGCCGGACCAACAGGAGGGGATTGGTGACAGTGTGGCATTTCAAGCGAAAAACGGCAGGGCGGGGCGAGTGCAGGGGGCGGCGGGCGGCACTGCTGGCTGGCTGCTGGCGCCAGGCCGCCCTGCCGACACCCCGCAGAGCGTCATCGTCGCACAGCTGGAGCTGTAGAGCCAGGGGCTGCCTGAACCCTGCCCTCAAGAAACCCCGTTCCGCACACCAGTGCAAGCTGCCGGGTGTGCGTGGCGATGGCTCTCTCCCGCCAACGATGGCAGATCGGGTGCAGGAGGAGAGCTCACCTGGATGCGCACCGAATTGCGGCGCTGGGGGCGGACCAGAGCGGGGCGGGTAGCGGCGATGGCGATCATGGTGAATACTGGGGCGATTGCTGGCGGCTGGGCGGCAGCCTCGGCGTGGATGGCATGTACTGGGCCCCGCCGGGAGTACTGCGGCCGGCCTTCCCTTGGCAGGCAAACCTTGTCTGTCGTCAAACGCATTGATCCTGGTGGCGCTGTCGTAACAAGTCATCGTTACGCAGCCTGCGCTGCGCGTTGTTATCCGCCAGCTCGTTTTAGAATCGAATCGACCGGCTGGGAGCCCCAACGACGGCAGCCGCCTGCTGCTGGACCCTGTGAGGCACGGAACGGCCTGGGGTGCGCCCGCCGGCCCTCCCGCTGATGCACCATTCAACCGGCCGGCGCCCGCTCGTGCGCCGCCGCCCCACCTGATCCGACACATCCTCCATCCCTTCCCTCCTGCACTGCCGCCGCAGGACCTATCCCAGCGTCCTGGCCTGCAGCTATGCTTACCCTGCAGCAGGCGCGGGAGGTGTACCTGGGCCGCCAGGTGCAGAAGGAGTTTCCTCCCATCGACAGCTTTCCAGGCGGTGTGTTTTCAGGGATTGTAAAGAAGATCGACTCTGGAGTGCCGGACAGAGATGGCATCAAGTGGGACATGCTCTTCAGCATACAGTGAGACGCGCCAGCTGCTTCTTGCGGGAAACTGGCAGCTCGTGGCTGCACCCAGCTGCCGCGCCGCGCCTCTTGACGCTGCTGTGTTGCATTGTCTGGCGCCAGCTGTTCCGCCGTGTGGCAAGGCCGGCCAGCTCACCCCAGCCCCTTCCCCTCTGCTGCAGGTACGAGGATGGAGACAAGGAGCACTTGACGGAAGAAGAGCTGCAAGAGTGTCTGGTGGACAGGGCCGCGGTGCTGCGGAAGCGGCGCGAGGTGCTGGCAGCGGCAGCGGCGGCGGCGCATGCCGGCGAGAATGATGAGAACGACGAGGCGGTAGCGGCGGCGGCGCAGCACGCGCGGCAGCTCATGGTTGGTGTGCTGGGTGATGCCACGGAGCGCCGCAGGAATGCGGCGGGCCATGAGCGGCGCAGCAGGTGGGCCAGGCGGGGCAGTGTGCTGCCGCCGCTGCCGGCCTGCGTAAGAGCTGGGTGCTGGGCTGCGCTGGTTTGCAACAGACAGCAGCTGGCCTATGCTGGGTGCCTGGCGCAGCTGGGTGCTGGCTTCTGCCGGCCAGCCTGCACAACAGCGCCGCCGCCGCCGCTTGTGAATGCCCCACAGGCGTGAGGGCAAGCGGCGCATGGATGAGGAGTATCAGTATGAGGATCCGCGGGGCTCCAAGCGCCCGGCAGCAGCAGGCGGCAACGACGCCGCCATCCGCTCGCGCTTTGGCATCCGGCAGCCCACGCAGGCGGCGGCCACGGCGGCCGCCAACCAAGCCTCGGAGAGCCAGGCGCGTGCTGGGTGCCAGCCGGCTGGGTGCTGCGCATATGATGCGCAGGGCCGGGCTTATGTGGGGCCGGGCTCTGTGTTTGCTCCCACGCAGCGGCGGCGCAGCACGCAAGCTGTGCTGGCCTGGGCAGCCGCTGCCGCTGCCGCGTCTCCCGCGGCCATGTGCCGCTCGCCCGCCTGCGCCCTGCCTGCAGGATGCGGTGCCGCTGGGGGAGGGCGGCATGCGGCTGACGGGCCT